GAATAGAATAGAATAGAATAGAATAGAATAAGGAATAGAATAGAATAAGGAATAGAATAGAATAGAATAGAATAGAATAGAATAAGGAATAGAATAGAATAGAATAAGGAATAGAATAGAATAGTTTAAGGAATAGAATAGAATAATGAATAGAATAGAATAAGGAATAGAATAGAATAAGGAATAGAATAGAATAGAATAGAATAGAATAGAATAAGGAATAGAATAGAATAGAATAGAATAGAATAGAATAAGGAATAGAATAGAATAAGGAATAGAATAGAATAGAATAGAATAGAATGAGGAATAGAATAGAATAGAATAGAATAGAATAGTTTAAGGAATAGAATAGAATAGAATAATGAATAGAATAGAATAGAATAGGACTAGAAATAGAAATAGACGTAGGATAGAATAGAATAGAGAATAGAAAAAAGAATAGAATATAATAGAATTCTTTATTTGCTAAGTGTAATTGGACACACAAGGAATTTGTCTTGGTGCAAATGCTGTCAGTGTACATAAAAAGAAAAGATACATTCATCAAGAGTCAAGAATCATTAGGTCCCACACTTAATGATAGTCATAGGGTACAATATAAGCAATCAAATCATACTAGGAAACAGTCAATATAAATCGTAAGGATACAAGTGACAAAGTTACAGTCATACAGTCACAAGTGGGAGGGGAGGAGCGATGAGGAATGATGAGAAGATTAATGGTAATATAATGCAGACTTTGTAAATAGTTGGACAGTATTGAGGGAATTATTTGTTTATCAGAGTGATGGCATTTGGGGGAAAAAACTCCTTGTGTCTAGTTGTTCTGGTATGCAGTGCTCTATAGCGTCGTTTCGAGGGAAGGAGTTGGAACAGTTTATGTCCAGGATGTGAGGTAATAAATAAATAGGTAATAAATTGCGTTGGCATCCTTCAGTCTCAAAAGACTGTGGTATGGTGCTCTGAAAAGAGGTCCTAAAAGAGCATCTGGTGTGGCCAAAAAGGCCAATTCGAGAGTGGCAGTCCCACAGTGGGGGCAGATACAGTCTGTCCCCAGTTTACCCCCCTCCCCGGATTTCGCTGGTTCCAGGATTGCCTCTTTGCCTCACCGTGCCGAACAAGTGTCTTTTCGAATTGGAGAAGGCCATGCTGCGTCTTTAGCCTCGAAGCTGAACGATCAGAGGTCAAGGTTTCCCAATGGTTGATATCCATTCCCAAGGCCTTTAGATCCCTCTTGTAGATATCCTTATATCACAGCTGTGATCCAGGGCGCTTTCTCTGCACTAATTCTCCCATACAAGGGATCTTTTGGAATCCGACCATCGGCCGTCCTCACGACATGCCCAAGCCAGCATAGACGTTGCTGTTTCGATAGTGTATACATGCTAGAAATTCCAATGTCAGGTTTCCAAGTGACGAAATCCATTTAAAAAAGAAAAGAGCGAAGTCCATCTTCCAAGACAATTTCTTTTATTTGGGAAAGCATCAAATTGGCAAAGTCCATGGTAATTCCGGATCTGACACAACCTGGAATTAAACCACATGATATTGGAAATTAGAAACAGCCCCCAAAAGTCACATTCCCCAATAGAAGTAAATCAACATTTGCCTGGTGTCATCAATCTCCACCTCCAGGTCTCAGCAGGGTCAGCTTTTTTTCCCACGGGAAGGAGAACCACTTAGTCTAAACAACTCTCATTATCTCCACTCCTCCGACCTTAGGAATGTGGCAAGCCCGAAACCCTCCTCCCCCTCCAATAACCAGCAAAGAGAAAGAAAGAAACGGAATAGATAATAAGGCTATAAAATAAAATGGTTATGCATATGTCAATTTTGGGATTGACATCCAGCATGTTCCAAGACTGCGCTTTTTGGAACTTTGTCATGCCAGGGCCATTGGGAAGTTACAACGGCAGTGACCGATGTCTGTTTTTCCCACACTTAACGACCGGCGCAGCATCCCCGTGGTCATGTGATCAAAATTGGCAACTGGCTCATATTTATGACGGTTGCCATGTCCCCAGGGGGCAAAACACAACAAGGGGTTAACGCATTGTCCCCTTAACCCTGACCCAGAGCTGACATAGGCTTTTCAACTCTCAGACGGCCATCTTGGTTTCTTTCAGGGCTATCATTCTCTGCGCCAGCTTGTGAAGCTCTCAAAACTGGTGGTGCCTCAGGAAATCAAGGACGTCATTGAACCCATCAAGGACAATGATGCGGCCATCAGGAACTATGGCATTGAACTGGCCATCAAGATGTGCCGAGAACTCTTAGAGAGCGGCCTGGTCCACGGTCTGCATTTTTACACCCTGAATCGCGAGGTGGCCACCATGGAGATCCTCCGACGGTTGGGCCTCTGGAAAGAAGACCCAAGGTGGGTCTGTCCAGAAGGTGGGAGGGCTGGACACACCTAGGGCTCAGCCTTGGCTTGGTGAACAAGCCACAATGGTCTCCTTTCCAGCGCACCTTGAGCAATAAATCATGGCCAATCACCCTAACGTCTGGATTGGCTTATTTCACTGAGCCAAACCCAGATGAGGAATTTTGGTCTTGGCTATTTTAAGACTCCAAACTTGGCCACTTTAAGACTTGTGGACTTCCAACTCCCAGAATTCAAGCTAGCTGGAGAATTCTGGGAAAAGAAGCCCACAAAGTCTTAAAGTAGCCAAGTTTTGGGGGGAATTGTGGGAGTTGATGTTCGCAAGTCTTAATAATGGCCAGGTTTCTGGGGAATTCTGGGAGTTGAAGGATGGAAGTCTTAAAGTGGACAAGTCTTTGGGGAATTCTGGGAAATGAAGTCCACAAAGTCTTCAAAATGGCCTAGTTTCTGGGGAATTGTGGGAGTTGAAGTCAACAAAGTCTTAAAGTTGCTGACTTTGGAGACCTCTGCTCTTGGCTAGGGAGAATAACGTGATAAACTTGATTTAACTTTCTCTTTAAGCTAAGTTTGGAGTTGGCTTGCTTTAAAAAATGCCCCTGTTGACATCCAGGAGAAGGCAGGAAAGATTGCAAAAGACAAATTAAGGAAAAGAGAACCAAAATTTCCAAACTAGAGGAAGATTCCAAACTAGACTTACTCATTTCTCAACCAACTGTGATAGCCCTCCCTTTTCCATCATGGTTAGTAATGTCGAGATGAGCAACCTTAAAAAGTCCATCTGGAAAAGTCCGATCCAGAGTTTGAACCGTTTTTAATTTTTCCATCCCTGATATCCTCCACGCCAGGCGTCCCTTGCCATGGGCAGTCAGCGCTCACCCCAAACGGCGAGTCGAAGACGTCCGGCCTATTTTCTGGGCTTCCCGGCCGAAGAGCTACATCTATCGGACGCAGGAGTGGGACGAATTCCCCAACGGACGATGGTGAGTGTTAGTACTCTGGCCTGTTGATGAGAAATGAAATAGCTTGTACTGGAGAAGTGTCGTGCTTAAGACAAATTCACATCCACTCCTTATTCAGGATTTGGTGGTCAGTTTGATGACCCGGAGCGTGTCAGAAAAATAACCAAGTCACAAAAATAGAAGAAAGTTCCTTTAATGCCTCCAACTTGGCCCCAATGTCCAATTATCCTCAGCAGGATATAAAACTCTATTAATTTGAAATAAAAAAAAACCAACACACCACACTGAAGGAATTACTATGGCAGGCAAGGATGATGAATTGTAGACTTCTACCAGATAACGCAGCAACCACAGTTGGGAGGAAGCCAAAACATAGATAAGCTCTGACAAGAATAATGCACACTTTGCTTCCAGCAACTTTGCCATGTGCAGTTTGTCCTTTTAACCAGTCTTCCCAGCTGCAGCCCATAAAGGGGATCAGGGCCCTTCCTCCCCCGTAGACCATACCACTCACGTTTCTCCCTTATCTGCTCCACACTGCGTGCCCTAGGATGAAGAGGGGATGGGCCTGGGTCTTCCTCTGAATGCCCAGCTGGCCTGTGCCCTTCCCCAGTTTCCTCCACAACTACCGGAGCCACACTCCCACTCCCTGTCGGCTGTTCCATCTCTTCCTCGGAGTCAGACTCCAACAGGGGCATGACAGTCTGATTCTGTTTTTATATACATCTTATATAATCCCCAAAATTTTAGCATAAATTATACACAGGTAGTCCTTGACGTACGGCCACAATTGAGCCCAACATTTCTGCTGCTAAGCGACGCAGTTGTTAAGTGAGTTTTGCCCCATATTTACAACTTGTCACAATTGTTCAGTGAATCCCTGCAGCTGATAAGTTAGCAACACGGTTAAGTGAATCTGGCTTCTTCATGGAGCAGTGGTGGCTAATCTTTTTGGGCTCCTGTGCTGAAAATTGGGCGCACGTTTGCTTGCGTGTCAGCACCCAGAAGGCTGTCAGCCTTCAAGATTTTCTCCCTTTGCTTTGCATCTTTCGGCTGTCGTAAGTAACGGGGGGAGGAGGGGGGAATGGTTATGGGAAGTGAGCTGGAGGTGTTACAACACAGAACTGTATAAGCTGGTGGGGTTGGATTCTTGCTTAGGCTTCTATCCTATGCTATGCGCAGCTGCAAACCTTTATCAAACTATGCCAAGGTCAACGCACAGAGGCCTCATCACCACCTGGAGATGCCCACATGATGATATACAGAACTTTTAATTGGATGAGCCAATTGAACTATTGAGGGTGGGAACGTTGCCATTACTTCGTATATGTGATTTACGCGCCCATTTTCTCAGATTCAGAATTGGTTGATTTTCAGTAAAAGATAACTTTTGATTAATTATTGGTTTTCAGTAAAAGATAACTTTTCTCTGATTAATGGAGTCTAAGTATTTCTTTCTTGGATTTTGAATGGAGCACCAGCTGACATTATTCTGAATCTCCCCATTACCAGCCCACCCGGATAATTAATAAATTTTCTTCCGAGGGGGTCTGAACACAATGTCAAATCCAGCCAGCGACCAAGAAGACCTGGGAGCGACTGGAGGACAAGATTCCCTGCTGTTAGAGGCAGCAGGGGAAGCCAACTTGTTAGCAGAACTAAATCTTGGGGGAAAAACAGCTGTAAAACCCAAATGGTCCCTGGGAGTCGGCTGGAAGGATCCTGAGGAAAAGCCTCCTCCAGGAGTGACCACTACCCGTCGGCGGCGTGGAAGAGAGGAGCCATGGCAAGAGAAGGAAAGGAATAATTTTTTGCTAACTCAAGCCATGCATCTTCTAAATGAAGCTATCGGAGAACCTCAAACTGATCAAAGGTATGAGGGAGAGGAGGGGGAGGCAGCCCCAGCCAGAAGAATCAGAGCAGCCACCCCCATAAATCAACCCGGGCTAGCGCAACAGGCAGCAGCGGCCCAGGGACCCCCAGCGGGGGGAGTAATTGCCAGAAGACGTAGAACTCCAAAGATGCCCCCATTGGAATTAAAATATGGGGGGGATCCCAAGGAGTTAGGATTTTTCCTGGCACAAGTCTGGACCATATGGAGGAATACGGAGGGGATTTTTTCCTCAGAAGCAGCCAAAGTTAGATGTGTTACCAGGGCTCTGGAGGGAACAGCTGCAAAGTGGATGGTGACTTTGCATCATGATAATGCCCCCCAGCTGATGAATTATGACCTGTTCATGACTGCGCTGCGGGCCAGGTTTGAAGACCCACTTGCTGAACGTAAGACCAGAATTAGGATGAAGACCATAAATCAGGGGCGGAGATCAGTGGCTGACTACACCCAGGAATTTAGAGAGCTGGCGTGTCATATTCGAGGCTGGTCCCAGGGAGCCCTGATATAAGTTTTAAAGATGGGTTGTATGAAGATGTATATCAAAGCTGTATTGCCAGAAGAGACCCCAGTGAGCTGCAGCTGTGGTACGTGCTGGCGGCAGAGGTGGAAATTGATCTGACCCGAAACAGACGCCGGGGGGGTTTTGGTTGGAGCAAGTCCTCCCCCACCAGCCCTCGAGAAGCCTTAAAACCTCAAAAGGGAGGAATGGCGGCAAAACCCAAGACCACTGCATGCTTCCGATGTGGGAAGGAAGGTCACCGGGCTGCAGACTGCCGTGCCAAGCTAGAACCAAAGGGGGCGCCAAGAGGACGAAAAAAAACCTGAAAACCCCCCAGCAAAGCCTCGCAAAACGGCGCTTAAAGCGGAGGAGGTTGTAGAGATCGCCCCTCCGAAAGGAGAGGAGCTGGGAACTCCAACCTCTTCTGAAGAGAGTGAATCCAAATCGGAAGACGACTCACTGATAAATCCAAACCAGGACCTATGACCATTCCAGTGAGATTAAGGGTACCCACGTCGGGAGCCAAAGGGGAAAATGCTGGCCTTGTTAGACTCTGGGTGCACAAGGTGCGTAATCAGCTCGGAGGTAGTGGAGAAAATGGGCTTAAGGCTAAAGACTTTAAAAACGCCCATAGCCTTTTACCAACTGGATGGATCGGTAGCTGGGGGCGGCCCTGCACATTTCATAACGGAACCAATAGAAATGATGATGGAGAAGCATAGAGAGACTTTGTGTTTTATTGTGGCTCCTGGGATGGAGCGGCCCCTAATACTGGGGTTGCCCTGGCTCCGGAAATTGAACCCCCACGTGGATTGGAGGAGGGGGTCATTGCGCATACGTACTGACCAACGCCCAGAAGGGGAGGGGCAATCTCAACCGAAACTCAAGAATCCTACTGAGCTAACAAAACATAAAAACATCAAGCCATCTTCCATATGTTTGTTTATGTTTGTTTTTAAAAACCAATAAAAACTTAAATTAAAAAAAAAAGAATCCTACTGAGCTGGCCTCCACTGGCACCGAGAGCCTCCAGGGGGAGGAGAAAATTCCAGAGGAATATTGGGACTTAAAGGAGGCATTCAGTGAAAAGGCCTTGGACGAGCTCCCCCCCCCCTCCCCCCCATCATTCAACAGATTGCAGTATTGAAATTTTACCCGGGGTGAAACTCCCAAAACCAAAACTGTACTCGATGACACCATGGGATCTAGAAGAGCTGCGGTCATTTATCGATAAGTATTTGGAACGTGGTTTCATCCAACCTGCTAGACCCCGGGTAGCAGCCCCAGTATTGTTCTGTGAAAAGAAAGATGGCTCCCTTTGTTTATGTGTTGACTACAGAAACCTCAACGCTATTTCAGTGGAGAACATGTACCCCCACCCCTTGATGAAGGATATGTTGGCTCACTTGGCCAAAGAGGAATTTTTTACAAAACTCGATCTGAGAGAAGCATACTACCGAGTTCGAATTAAGGAAGGGGATGAATGGAAAACTGCTTTTAACTGCCCAATGGGTTGTTTCCAATTCAACGTTCTTCCATTTGGCCTACAGGAGGCCCCTGCAGTATTCATGCAAATGATCAATCAGGTGTTGCATGAACATCTATACAAAGGAGTGTTGGTCTGTCTCGATGATATTCTTATCTACACGGAGACTCATGATGAACATGTGAAACTAGTGCGGTCAGTTCTGGAAAAACTTCGAGCTGCTGAGCTGTATGCAAAGTTGTCCAAGTGTGAATTCCACCAGGAAAAAATTGACTATTTAGGCTATCGCATCTCCCATGATGGCATAGAAATGGATCCGGGGAAGGTTCGTGCTGTTTTGGAATGGGCCCCTCCCTGCACCAGGAAGCAACTTCAAAGTTTCTTGGGATTTGCTAATTTTTACCGTCAATTTATCCCTGCTTTTGCAAAGATTGCAATGCCTATTACAAATCTCTAAAAACCAAAGGGGAGGTGAAACTGAAGCCCAGTAAACCACTGGAGTTGTCCATGGAATGTCAAGCCGCTTTTGAGAAGCTGAAACGACTTTTTGCTGTTGAACCAGCACTCAAGCACCCGGACATGGACGCTCCTTTTGTAATCCAAGCCGATGCGAGTGACGTAGCAGTCAGGGTGTTACTACAAGCAAACGAGACGGGGATTCTGCAACCGTGTGCATATACTTCCCGTAAACTAACTGAAACTGAAAGAAGATGGGCCATCTAGGAAAAAGAAGCTTTTGCAGTTCGCTGGGCTCTGTTAACCTGGAGGCATTTCTTAGAAGGGGCAAAACATCCATTTGAGGTGTGGACGGCTTTGAAAACGCCTCGGAAGCTGTCTCCCAAGCAAGTTCGCTGGGCGCAGTACTTTAAGCGCTTTAATTTTTCATTGAAGTACATTTCCAGGGGGGAAGAACTTCATGGCGGATGCTTTATCTAGATTATCTCAATATAATAGTGCTCAGCAAGAAGTGGTACAGCCTATTGTCCCAACCAAACAGTTGGCAGCTCCAGTGGTTACCAGAGCCCAGAAAAAGAAGGCGGTTGATTTATCCAATGATTTGACTGCACAATTAAGAGACGCTCTAAAACTTGATGATTGGTTCCTTGCTCATTCAAATAACTGTACGGTTAGAGATGGATTGGCATGGGTGGGGGCCAAATTATATGTGCCAGCGAAGCTGAGAAACCAAATATTACAGCAAGCTCATGACTCTAAAGCCGCTGGACATTTTGGATTCGTGAAAACCTCACACTTGGTTAAAAGGCAATTTTGGTGGCCTGCCTTGAAAAAGGACATTGAGACTTATGTGGCTATCTGCCCTATCTGTGCCTCAGCCAAACGGCCTCCTGGTAAACCAGCAGGCTTACTACAAAATGTGGCTAGACCAACGGCTCCATGGAAGGAAATTTCTATGGATTTTATAGTGGAATTACCTGAAATTGGGGGGAATACAGTTATTTGGGTAGTAACCAATTTGTTTTCCAAACAGGTACATTTCATACCTTGTCCGAAAATCCCAAAAAGGGCCCCCTCCCCATGGTGCAGGAGGCCAACTAGGCCAGGCCCAGCATGGGCACACCCACCCAGAAACTGGGCAGAGAACCCCCTTGCTAAAATTTTCAAAGCCCACCCCTGGTTGTAACTGCTAATCACGGACCTTAAGGCAGCTCGAAAAGTCCATGCACTTAATTCAAACCTTTTATTTATGTATTTATTTATTTATTTATTTTGTCAACAGCTTACAATATAACAGAAACAAGAATCAACATAAGTTAAAATACAAGAAATAGGAACTAATCACTGGGGACAATAGGACAGGGACGGTAGGCACGACGGTGCACTTATGCACGCCCCTCGCATTAATTCAAAGGCTCTCTGGCAGCAATCGACCCAAGCAGAATTTCCTACTTCGCTTCTTCTTCCTCTTCACCCACTTGCCAATTCTCTCCCCAAATCTCCAGGGGCAACTCTTCGTCCCCTGCCTTCGGGGAGCTGAAAGACTACTATCTTTTCTACTTGAAGAGCAAGTCTGCCCGAGAAGAACTGCTGAAGATGTGGGGAGAAGAGCTGACCTGCGAGCAGAGCGTCTACGAAGTCTTCAGGTGTTACATCGCCGGGGAGGCCAACCGCAATGGACACAAGGTGAGAGAATTCACGAAAAGCACGGCCCTTTTCTGGTGAAAGAAGAAGAAAGGTGGAGGTTGGCCATGAGAAGGCCAAGCCAAAGTGGACTACTTTGGTCGAGTGTTCCTTCTCCAGCGATGTATCTCAACCTTGGCCGCTGGTATCTAACACCAGATATTTGACACTGCATTTAAGTTATCTAAAATGCATAAAGGGATGTCAAACGAAGGTTGGAAGTGTAAAAGTAAAGAAGGGACTTTTTAAAAAATCATTTATAGTGGACCTGTGATAAAGCAAAGAGATGTTAGAGTAAGGTTCATATTTTAATACAGAAAATGTTTAAAAGAAAGATAAAGGTGAAATCAGACACTTTTCTTTTGGGTTTAATGGAAAAAGACTTGGAGAAAAGAACTCAGAACTTTGATCTTATCTATGTTGACAGCAGCAAGACAGCAATAAAAAAATGGAAGGTTGATAGATGCTTATAGAAATGGCCAGTTTATATTACTACTAGCTCGATACCTGTGCTTCGTTACGGAACTTATGTTTGTTGGGCTTAGTTTTTGGGGAGGAAAATAAGGGAGAAAAAATTCTGCCTCTGCCTACCAGCATCCATCAGTATTCATCTGGCTAGCATCCTGTCAGTGTGTGAGAGAGTTGAGGGCGGTTTGGAAACTGAAACAGTATTTACTGTGTGAGCAAGGAGACAGCAAGGAACCTGGGCGTGGCTTAGCTCAACTGTTCTGTACTAAAGCTGCTTGGTGCTGTGAAACTGAAATTGAAACTCCTCTCCTCTGCTTGTGTTTTGCATTTGGAAGAGATTTCTTTTCAGGTGGGGAGGGGGAGTAGAACTCCTTAGCATCAGAGCGTGTTAATAATAATAATATAGGAAATGCTAATGGCTCTGATGGTCATTTGGAAAAATCCTTTCTTAGTGAGCCCCCAGAAGCCAAGAGGAACATAGGTGCCAAACTTCAAGTTTATAGGTTTTACAGTTCTGGAGATTTTGTGATGATGCATGAGTGGCCTTTCGCTTTTATACATATATAGATGAAAAAGCAAAAAGCTGTGGTTTGATGTTTTAATTTACTGCAACAGAGGGAGTGAGAAGTCAACTATTTTCTCCCAGCCCTTCCTCATTTCTCTTCCCCCCACCCCACTGCCTTCCTATTTATTTTTGTTTTTTTGTATTTTATCACCTAATAAAATGTGGTTGCTTTTTTTTAAAAAAGAAACAATAACAAAAAGCTGTGCTGACTGGGGAATTATGGGAGTTGAAGTCCACCCGTCTCCAAATAGGTTGATGAGAAACGTCCTTCTACCGCTTTGATCTCTTCCCCTTTGCCTCAAGGTCACCTGTTTGCCATGGAACGATGACCCCCTGGCCGCTGAGACCAACCTCATGAAAGACGAGCTGGTTAAAGTCAACCGGAGAGGCATTCTGACCATCAACTCCCAGCCTAACATCAACGGAAAGCCTTCCACGGACCCCATCGTGGGTTGGGGACCAGAAGGTGGCTACGTCTTCCAGAAGGTAGCCTCCTTAAACCACTTGGTGGATTCTTTGTTTCTGTTCCTTTGGGTCACTCTTGACCCCTTTTGGAAGTGGTTGGCCACTGCTTGCTTCCCGGGGTTGAGAGAGAGGGACTGGCATCAGGTATTCCGGCTGGCTTCCCAAAATCACGAAGCAGGCTCCTCGTCCCGACAAAACCCCTTTTATTTAGGCTAATGTGAATTCCTATCCTTCACATCCAGCAAAGTCCCGGCAAACAAGTCTTTCAAGAGTGATTTTACAATCACAGACCTTATCAAGCTTGGAGAGTTGCCAGGCCGATAGCTTCCAAGTGCAACGGTGTACCAGAAAATACTTGGCAAGGAGTCAGGAACAAATCTTCACCCTAATTAAATGAACTAATTGTCTCCTGCAAAACCCCATTCCCCTTTCGCTCCTCTTTTATACTCTAGGAGAGGGGGCCATTCAGCGTCCACCTGTGGCTTTACTCCCAAGTCGACCCTTGTTCCTTAGCTATTCCCTTCTCCTGGCAGCTCTGTGCATGCGCACATCAGAAACAGGCTCCGGCTGCTCTTCTTCCCCACTGATCTCTGACTCCAAAGGCAGCTGATAACTGTCAGACGGTCCTGGCCTCATCTCTGCCTCCGCCGCAGAGCCCTTGTCAGAGCCTTTCCCCAGACTCCAGGACTGGCCCATGTTCCTCCCCAACCTCCTCCCTGTCCGAGTCTGCTGCCAGTTCCGCTGGCCGTTGGCGGGCCACAACACTTTGTGCCTAAGGAGAGGGAAACTCAAGCCTGAAACAAACAGCTATTCAGAAGACCAGGGAAAAGGGGATTTTGATTCTTAAAATCATTAAAGCAAGCAACATAGAGATTAAACGGTATTAGAGAACCTCGTGGGAATCACAGAGGATAATCGACCCCACTGAATTTTAAAGCCCTCATTTACAAGCCTGGTTTAGCTGCTGAGAGGCTCATGAATGACACCCCAGAATGAACCCCAGAGGAGACAGCCCAAAAAGGCTCTCAGATTATCCATGCTGGCAGTCTCCTCCTCCTCTTAAAACGACTCACAAAAAAGCAGCTGCAATCCCCAAGCGCATTCAATATGGGCTCCACTGTGTGCAAACGCCCCGTAATTCCCAACATCCAGGAGTGGAATTCTACCGGTTTGGACCGGTTCCCGTGAACCGGATGTTAAATTTACATCTGGTTCACCGAACTGGTAGTTGAAGCCTCCGGACCACGGGGAAGGCAACCAATAGAAGTTCTGGTAGGCCACGCCCACCATGGACACACCCACCCAGCAACCGGGCAGCGAACTAGTAGCTGGGATTTTTGAGTCCCACCCCTGCCAACATCAAAAACCACACCGCACCAAATAATTGTGTTCTCACCTGCCTTCCTCCTTACAGCCTAATGAGATTTTAAAAAGCTCACTGCTTAAATATCCTTAATATCCCTTAACCCAAACTTGTTTAGCGTGAACCTTGGCTAGGATTATTATTTCAGTTTGTCGGTTGTGCAAACCCAGATTGTTTGATGGGGTCAACAGACTGGGAGCTCGGAAAATTGGTTTGATGCGGGAAGCAGCTGGAAAAATATATTTAGTTTGTTTTACAATACGTCGGCCATTTGTGAAGTTGTTTTAAAATATGGCGGCCATTTGTGAAGACTTTTAAGGTGTGTGGACAGAAGAGAAATCAATGTCCTATTCTTTCTGCTTACCCCTTTTTTTACAGGCTTACCTGGAGTTTTTTACCTCCGCCGAGAACATCAAAGCTCTTCTCACAGTTCTGAAAAAATACGGAGAGCGTGTGAATTACCACATCGTCAACGTGAAGGTATGCTGGAATTTCTCAGGCCCTTTGGGGCACCAGGGACCAGTTCCGTGGAGAAAGATTTTCCCACGGATTGGAGAGAGACTTGGTTTCGCGTGCTGCCTGCATCCCACGAATGGGGCTTCACTTGTTTACGTGGCCAGGTGTCTGGCATGCTGTGGCCTAGTGCTGTTCCATGATCTCTCCTGTCTCAGGCCATTCAAAAACAAGCATCTCCCATTGATCAGAGAATAGAATCAGCTCAGCCCTGCATGGCTAGAAAAATAATACAGAATAACAGAGTTAGAAGTAACCTTGGAGGTCTTCTAGTCCAACCCCTGATCGAGCGAGAAATACCCTTTCAAACAACAAATCTCATCTCTTCTTGAAAATATTTTATATCTATATCTATAAAAGTGAAATACCATTCACGGATCATCACAAAATCTCCACAACTGTAAAGCCTACAAACTTGAAATTTGGCACCTATGTTCCTCTTGGCCTCTAGGTGCTCACTAAGAAAGGATTTTTCAAAATGACCATCAGAGCTATTAGTATTTCCTGTATTATTATTATTAACACGCTCTGATGCTAAGGAGTTCTACTCCCCCTCCCCACCTGAAAAGAAATCTCTTCCAAATGCAAAACACAAGCAGAGGAGAGGAGTTTCCGTTTCCGTTTTACTTTCACAGCAGCAAGCAGCTTTAGTACAGAACAGTTGAGCTAAGCCACGCCCAGGCTCCTTGCTGTCTCCTTGCTCACACAGCAAATACTGTTTCAGTTCCCAAACAGCCCTCAACTCTCTCACACACTGATAGGATACTAGCCAGATGAATACGGGTGGATGCTGGTCGGCAGAGGCACAGTCCCCCTCCCCCCTTATTTTCCTCCCCAAAACTAAGCCCAACCACATAGTTCCGTAGCAAAGCATGCGTATCGAGCTAGTAAAATATAAACCTCTTGCCCTTCTGCTCTTCTTCAACCCTTTCCTGCTGCTTCTGCAGGGAGAGAACGTCACCAATGCTCACGAGATGCAGCCCAACGCTGTCACATGGGGGATCTTCCCCGGAAGAGAGATCATCCAGCCCACAGTGGTGGATCCAGTTAGCTTCATGTACTGGAAGGTAAACCTGTTTCTTTTTCCTTTCCTTGCAGATTTCTGCCAGACATGATATTCTTCCGATTAAAATCGGAATTCCAATTTTTTTGGGAATCGCCCCCCCGCTTTCCCCCCCTTCTTCTCCTCCTTCCCCTCCCCTCGGAGGCCCCGAGTCAGGAGTTGCTACCGCCGGCGCGGCTCTGCGTGGCTCCAGTCCCGCGTTGCCTCAGGAAGGGAAAGGCAAAAAGGAAGAGCCGCGGTGGCGCTTTGCAACGGCAGCAGCGGCTCCTGGTTTTGCCTTTCCCTTCCCGAGGCAACGCGGGACTGGAGCCGCGCGGAGCCACGCCGGCGGTAGCAACTCCTGACAGCCCCAGCCGGATACCTGAGCGGAGCCCAGGCGGGTGGGCGGTGCGAGCGGAGGCCGCTGAGCGGCAGGAAAAGGGAGCTGGACAGCGATTTCTTGGCGCGCGGTGGGGGGTCTCTTTTGGCCGGCCCCGATTTTTTTTCCAGAGGGGAATATCATGCCTGATTTCTGCTTAGCCTGTTTCTCCCAGTCTAGCCTACAATCCAGTGAGAAGCTACCCTTCTTCGGGGGAAAATAGCAAGTCTTATTTTTTTCCCAACACTCTCTAGATCAGTGATGGTGAACCTTTTTGTTCTGGTGTGCCGAAAGTGCAGACACGCGCATGCCGGCATCCACAATGCAATGCGCCCTCCTGTGCATGCACGCGCAACACCCCACCACCACCTGCACTGTACATGCGCGCACCTCCCAGCTGATTTTTGGCCTGTTTGGGACCTTTTTGGCCCTCCTGGGGGCTCGAGGGAAGCCTTTGCTGCCTTTGGAGGCCGAAAAACAAGCCCGTTTTGGCACTTCTGTTTCGTCACTTCTGGTATTTCCAGAAGTCCCATTTTTCAGCCTCCCGAGGCTGCAGAGGCTTCCCTCGAGCCCCCAGGAGGACGAAAAAGGCCTCAAATGGGCTGAAAATCATCTGAGAGGCGCATGCATGCGCAGTGCAGGTACGTTTGTCTGTGGCACACGTGCCATAGGTGTGCCATCATAACCCTAGATTGTTTTAAAGTATTTTATGAATGAATCTCTGCTTTGATCCTGATTAACCTCTGGGGACATTGACATTTAAAAATGTTGTGCTGGTAGTCCTCAGTTTATGACAACTGAGCCCAACATTTCTGTGGCTAAGCGAGACTGTTGTTCAGAGAATTCTGACCTTTCTTGGCAGAGTTGGTACGTGAACCACTGTCGTTGTTAAGTTAGCAACACCATTGTTAAGTGAATCTGGCTCCCCTATTGAGTCAGAAGGTTGCAAAAGAGGGATCATGTAACCCCCAGGACATTGCAACTGTCATAAATGCGAGTCAGTTACCAAGTGCTTGAATTTTGATCACAGGGAATGCTGCAATGGTCGTAAGTGTGAAAAACAGTCATTAAGTCACTTTTTTTCAGTGCCGTTTGTAATTTTGAACAATCACTTGAAGTTAACTGTTGAAGAGTAGCTGTATGTGATGACCTGGTGTGTGGCACAAAGGCAACACAGTCAGATAATCAATAAGAGTCCCTTTATTAGCTCCAACTTTGCCCCCAACGTCCTGGTTACCTTCTGGCTGGAGAAAACCTCTATCAGGAACAGCCTTTCGCTGCAGAGAATCAAGTCCAAAACTTGGTCAACCAAAACTGTAACTATAAGTCCAATCAAGGCAAAATGAGGTAATGAGTCCGACAGGGCAGGAGAAGGAATTCCAGATGTGAAGGAATAGCAGTAATTCAACATGGTTGGGAAGACGCCAGGAACACAGATAACCAAAGTCAACACAAGATAAACTTATGTTTGCTCCCAGCAGCTGCTGCACTCGGCATGCATCTCTTTTAAACTCTCATTTCCAGGTGAAGGGAATCAGGGCCCTTTCCTCCCCCGTAAGTCATGCAACCCACATTGCTCCCTTCTCCATTCTTCCATGCGTGCCCTAGGATGAAGAGTGGGGTGGGTCTGGGTCTTCCTCTGAACTCCCTTTCCCTTGTTCTTCCTCTCCCCTGCTCTACCCAGCCAGACTTTGCCCTTCCCCAGTTTCCTCCACAACCAACAGAGCCACACTCCCGCTCCCTGTCAGCTGTTCATTTTCCTCCTCGGATTCAGACTCTGACGGGCATGACACTGTAGTGCAAACCTTGGGAGACATTTAAATTTAAAAATGTATATTTAAACCTTTTCATTTCCGCCACGTAATTCCTGCCTCCCCTTCTCCAGACCTTAGAAAGGTGTTTATATTCAGTTCTTCCTTCTGAAGCATCCACAAGTTTGCAATTTCTGAGGTTCTTACTTGCAGGGTTGAAAACTGCAGCCTTGCAGAACTCCAAACCTGGAATCTTGTAGTAATGTGAAATAGTTTTCCCACAGGTAGGGGTGGATGAAAATTACAGGTATTTGACTCACAAACAGCTCATTTAGTGGCCGTTTTGAAGTTACAATGGAAAAAGGTGACATGACCGTTTTCCACCCTTATGGCTGTTGCACCCATATGACCCTCCCATTGCGGGATTTACATTCGGATGGTGGACCACTGACTCATATAGACGACGGTTGCAGCGTCCCAGGGTCAGGCTTTTGCAGCCTTCCGAGAAGCCAAGTCAATGGAGAAACCGGATTTCTTTTAATAACCATGTTGCTAACTTAACAATGGCAATGATTCACTTAGCAACAGTGGCAAGGAAGGCCGTAAAATGAGACAAAACTCAACCAATTTCTGACTTAGCAGCAGAAATTTTGGGCTGGATTGTGGTCATAAGTTGAGGACTACTTGTATGTCAAGGTTCCCAAGTAATTGTTGTGGTTAGCCAGCAGCAGATGCGGATGGCTGAGGAAGACTCAAATGAGGGGCCGGGACCATTAGGGAGTGGATTGCTTCCTTCAGAGATTGTGGGGGCTGGCAGCAGCGATGAGGAGGTTCCTGAGGAGCCTGTGCCAAGTGCGCATGCACACAGGGCTGCTTGCAGGAAAGAGCAGCTACAACAGCATGGGTGACTCGGGAGTAAGGCTGCAAGGTAATGGCCCCTCCTTCAAGAAGATAAAAGCCAGCTGTGAAGCGAACGTTCTTTGCAGGAAGCAAAGACGTTTTGAAACTCCAGCCTCGTGGGCATTGCAGTATCTTAGTTGGTATTTGAAGACTCTTGTGTTGTGAAATATTTCTAGATAATCTTATCTGTGATTCGTGGCAGTCTCGTATAGTTTTGGCAAGGCTTGTGCTGATCAAAGTTAATTAGTTTGCAGCAGCCTTTTAACCAGGGATTCGTAAGAATCATTCAAAGGTTTCTGTTCCCTTTGGTTCGTGTTTGTTTTATTGGACAAGAGTTTGGGTCAGAACAGTAATACATCCCATTCAGTGAGAACTCTGAGGCAGGCATATTCATCAAACATGTTACTGGGACTTATCAAATTGGCACAGGCTTGGTGGAAAACCGGCTCTGAGTTCCCACTGGTTTTACACCCAATTAAAAGAAAAACTTAGTCACTTCCCCCCAGTCACCCGTCACATGGTCCAATTAGCATCCAGCCCAGTTGCTAGGTGACCTCAGTCTCCGCCTCTCAAACACCTGCACCAACGTCCTGGATTCCCAGGGGAAAGAATTTTATTTCGGCTGTAGCACCCCCAGCTAATCTCTACGCCGCCCCCTCCCTGGCCCCCTTCGCTCCAGGCTGCGTCAGCCCTGAAGCCGTGAGAAGAGAAACCTCCCTAGAGGAAACCTGCATGGAAAAAATGGCCACAATTAGGCCAACTTCAGGGTTGGCTATCAGCTTTGGAAGCCGTATTAGCTACCAGACGCTTCCACACTGCCACATTCTTGAGCCTGGGAAAATGGGAGGGGGGGATTTCTTGGAGCGCATGTGGTTAGACATAATAGCACTCTTCTTCTAAGTCAAGGTCATGTTATCTCTGCACCTGGGTGAGAGGACGTCTCAAATTGGATGGTGATTGGGGCATGTGATGCCATGATGGGTCCAGGGGGTGGATTTTTAATTTTTTTCCTTATTGCAAGGAAACCCGGAACTTCCAGATTCGGGATTCTCCAGATGTGCTAGTTTGCTATCCAATCAAAACAGAACTTTTGAGAAGTTTGTCTGTCCCAGAGTTATTGGTTGGAGTGGTTTTCTGGAATGCTGACATGGATGGCACTGTATTCATTTCGGGAACCGGGCCGGGGCTGAATCCTGGGTTCAAGTCTTGCCATCTTCCACTGCCTCTTAAAATGTCTAACCCGTAACCCTTGCTGTCTCCCATGGACAGGATGAGGCCTTCACCTTGTGGATAGAGCAGTGGGCCAAGCTCTACGAAGAAGAATCCCCTTCTCGGATGATCATCCAGTACATTCACGACAACTATTACCTGGTCAACTTAGTGGACAACGACTTCCCCTTGGAGAGTTGTCTCTGGCAGGTATTGGAAGACACCTACGAACAATTGAACAGTCCAGGAGAGGAAGCGAAAACCTCTGGATTTTGAAAACGGGGACTTTACAACACTTTTTACCACCATCGCAACGACCAGCAGCTGAGCAACCTAGTTGAAGTCTGGTGCTGCTGATTTTTCTAGTTTTTTAATCAGATTTTCGATGACAGGTGCTCTAAACCGGCAGTCCCCGGTTTGGCGGCCTGGTGGGTTGTGATGTGTGTGTGTGTGTGTGAGTGGCAGGTGCATGCACGCATTCACAGCTCCAACAGAGCTTTGTGCACAAGTGGAGGGGGACATCAGCGGAGGGCGCTTGGGCTCGCGCGGGAAGCTCCCCTCGCACAAAGGAAGGCCGCTTGCACGAGTGCGCAAAGCTCCATTCGCACGGAGATTGGCGTGCGAATACAAGGGGGTCACACGAGTGCGCCTTCCACTCGTGTGAGCGGAGCTCTGTGTGCAAAGCATGTTTGCCTGTCACGCGTGTAAGCGGAGCGTCACTCTTGCCCATTTTCTCCTTGGGGACGCCTCCTCTAAACTTCCTAAAGACCAACCACGGCCAGCTCGGCTGAGACTTCTAACCTATCCGTCTTTTTAGTTCTCCTACAATCTACCCCTATTTATTTTGATTTTTGTAAGAGGCATCGAGAATTACCTTCCTTGTTTTGTTTTTTGGAGGGGGGAATGGCAGCCAGTCCCTTTGTAAAGGGACGAAAAATGAAATAAAAATGAAATAAAACGACTCACACATAAGGCCTCCTGGCGTGGCCTCACAAGGAGAATGGCTTTGTCTGAAGGCGGCGTCTCGGGGGTCTCCAATGCCAAGGAAAAGTTTGCCCCCACCCTCCTGCCTGGCAGAAAGGGCACCGAGCCCACCTGTCTCAAGATAAGAGCGTTGGAAGGGACCTTGGAGGTCATCTAGTCCAGGGGTTCGCCAACCTTTTGGACCTCAGGGACCACCAAACTCATCATTTTAAATCCCGCGGACCAGAGACCCACCTGGGAAAAATCCCCCAAAAAGTCTGCAGGAAAATTCTCCACCCCGTTTTCCTACCGATTGATCCTTATTTGGGATCGCAGGATAATGTCTCCAGCTCCGTTCTCAGTGGGGGAAAGAGAGAGACTTTTGGCTTCATGCAAGGAAAACAGCAGAAGCAGCAGGAGTCTTTCTTTCTCTCCCCCAAACTCCGCCAGAAATGAGTCTTTGTGAGATTTGTCATGCTGGCGCAGCCTCTTGGAGCAGGAGGCCTTGCAGGGTCCCAAAGTCTCATTTCTGTCGGAGTTTGGGGGAGAGAAAGAAAGACTTTTGCTGCTTTCCTTGCGTGCAGCCAAAAGCAGAAGAAAGAAATGGAAAGAAGCAGACCAGTGGCCAGGCCAGGTGCGTAGAGCAAATTTTCCCCTTCCGCCCTTTCCCCCCTCCCCTCACTACCTCATGTTCACAATACAAGCGACGCAGGCCTTGTGTTCCCGCGGGCCATGTGGGCGGCGCAGCCTTGTGTTCCCATGCAGTCTGGATTAATTGCTTGGGGGGGGGACATTTCTCTGCGGACCACCAAAATTTTCTCACGGATCATCAGTCCACGGCCCACCAGTTGGCAACCATTGACCTAGTCCAACACCCCACTCCTCAAGCAAGAGACCCTACACCATTTCTGACAGAGGGCAGTCCAATCTCTTCTTGAAAGCCTCCAGGGATGAAGCTCCCACAACTTCCGAAGGCAAAACTGTTCATTAAGTGTGAAGACCCGTCCCAAAGCCACCTATTTTCAGC